GGTCTATGGCGCGCAAGGGACAGCGACTACTTACCCCTGCGTGTCATTGGGGACAGTGCGCTTGGGCTTTCGCAACTCCTAACACGACGTCCTCCACGCAAGCAGCACTTGGTGCAGTTATTCAACAAAGCAAGCGCGATCGCTAACGATATTAATGTCTCCAGCTGGGGACATCATTATCACACCTACCACAAAATGGCGGGTCGATTGGCGATTATCGCTATGGACGCAGGGGCTTCAGTTCAATCGCACGCTTCTTGTAACCCCGTTCTAGTCCAGGAGGCTACTACCTTCCTTGATTCTGTTGTCAGTCATTGGTTGGAGACCTCGCGAGCCGACCAATACGTCATACAGGGCCCCGTACTGGGCCCTGAGGAGCCTGATCATCTCGCGACAGGAGGCTACGCGCAGAATTCTGCTGTCCGAGACCAAGTTCTACCCAGTATGTAAATTAGCAGTCACCCCGGTAACCTTGTTGCCGGGCGACAGGTTATAGCAGGTCGTCCGCGTACCTAAATATACCTCACTTTCTCACCTCCTCTCCTCTTCGTCACCGATTAGTGCCCAGTAAGTATCCGCCATGAATACTGGGAGAGCAGTAAATCCAAAGAGAGTAGCCCGCCGTAAATGAACCCCTTTAACGGTTGCGTCGACCCAGGTTGCTTCGTCGATGGCTTCGATTGCGGTTAGATATAGGCAAACTTCGCTTCTTGTTCAGTCTGCGTTGCGCTGCTGGTTGCGTTGGTTTGGTACAAAGCGAAGTCTGTTGTAGACTGAGACGCGTCACTAAGCCCAGTAGGAGTGACGGCTGCCTGAGCCGCTGCTGCGACACCCTTTTAGACGTTAAGCCTTTTCGCCGACAATTCTTTCATTTCTTCGATACTTTGGAAGGATTTAGCTAGGTCCAAGAGCCCTTAGATGTCGTCTTCCGTAACAAAGATACACCCTGGTCCATTCAGCAATTTGTCCGTCAACCTGCACCGTGCCAGAGGATGGCCGAGGTCGCCACATTGTAAATGACTTCCAACTGTCCCAAATTCGACCACTACCGTCGTTTCAAACCATAAGAGCCGAAATACCTCATGTAGGAAATGGAGCAACCTGCGAGTTTTAGAGTGACCCTATATACCGTAGACGCTCTATATTCGGAGGCGTGCGTATCGATATCCCCCGATTCAAACTGTGACGGAGCCTTGACTTTCAGGAAAGCCGCAATGCGTCCAGTATCACTAGTTCGGTGAATCTTGTGAAGCTGCACAAGGTACTACACACGGCGCCCCTTCAACGATCCTCCCATTCCATTCTGTCGTTGCCACATAGACCCGCGATCAGACCGATGCGCGATTGCGGGCGATACCTCTCCCCAATTAAATGGCACGCGAACATCTTGGTTGAACATCAATACATCCCTGGTAAAGAAACGAATAATATGGACTTCGTGACCGGATCGAAAGTTTTTGTCTTCGTCTGGTGCAGCATATAATGCGACTCTTGCAGGTTGACCCCCGCAAGCTCATCTGACTCGAGTATAGTGTCTTGGATCGCTTTGGTGGTCTACTGAGTCGCCTTGATCGAGCGGGATTAATCCAGATGAGAATCTAGCCCCCCTTCGACTTATACTGGATGGTACTATACAGGCGAAGGCTCCCCTAACTCTTGAGGATGTGCTGGGTGAACACAGGTAGATGCCTCTAGGCGACCATGCCTCCCACTAGCCCGACCATTACCGCTCATTCATAGTCACTCCTATCCCGTACGTAGCTAGGGCCTGCCACGGGCACCGAACATTCATAGAGCGCTCTGGGTCGGGTGGTCTCGTCGAATGAGAACATTGACGCCTATATTGTGCGACCGTCTACTTATGGCCGAGCTGCATTTTCGTACGAATTTGGACCACTGGTCCACCACCGGAGCCTGAGCCCATATGCGCTGGCTGAAAAATTTCGCACAACTTCTATGAATGCCCATTTGGAAGTGAAAAGCTCGCGCGTTATGAGCTGTACAATTGGGTTTACTCGATATATTTCGTGGTCTTTGACAAAAACTTGGTCAAACATACCCACAAGACTCTTTGCCCCAGCCGCCGTTATAATGGGAACTCGCTTTTGCTCCGTAGGAAGAGCCTCAGAATGAACAGGTACCGTGTTGTATACGACCGCGAATCAATGTCGCACAGTCGCGCTCCATGCTTCGACCTTTCCCACATGCAGAGCTTCTTCCATTACTTCCACGATCGCAGTGAACATCTCCTCCGGGGTTGCGCTGAGCCGGTTAGTCTGCTGCGACTGACCCGAGTCATTGGCCACTGACAGTGTGACAGAGCGTGCGCTCTCAGCCTTGTCTTCCGTTTTGCGATCTTGCCCTCTAGGTAAGACGAAGGAGGCCCCGGCCGTGCTTCCCCCCCAGTTTTCCGGGCGGAATAAGGTCAAAGTGGGGCCACTCGTGAGCGCATTACGCGGTCTGTGGATCTGGTACACTGTTTATACTCCGCCTGATCAACTGTGATCTCTGCGGTCAGATTGGGGAGTGCGTGGTAAATATAGGACTATATTACTACTTAAGATAATATTCTCGTTGGCCTCCTTTGGTGTCAAGGACATGTAACGAGCTCCCGCGTTCCATTCATGATGCACCAACGACGATAGTTTCATCAGACAAATTCGACCAATTCTGTTTGCTCTATCGTGCGACCTCATAGTGGGTCATTTCTACATCAAGCGTGGCCACCTGTGTGACTATTGATAAGACAAAGGTGATGGAATGGGGTGGGCTTTTTACATGTCACAGACGTTTATCTACATGTATAGGTGCATCCATTTAAACGAACAATATTCGGCAACGTAATCTTAGACGGTCACCATGGGCACATATTATGTTGATGGTGCCATTGAGGTTGGAACAAGCAGCGATTGACGACATTTAGTTCTTTGGGTGACACATGCCATGGATGAAGTAGACGAAGGTATCTGCACAGAAATGAAGCTTGAATGGGTAGATGATCAGGTAGTTCTGTTGTTTTCTACCGCTTGATGACGAATAGGTAATGTCTGAATGATAAGTAGGGATTCACCAAATGATGAATACCTCCCCTTTTTCCATCAGTGTCGCACTTTACATCCGCCTCCTTCCTGCACTCAATGCCTGTTAAGCCGTAAAGCACATGTCTACACTTTTACGTGTGTAGAAAGCTTACAATGCCTCTAGTGTAAGTAAAACGTGCCTCGTTACAACAGTGACAGACTTTGATTGTCCCAGCATCATCAGTGGACATACACTCATTGAATAAGCAATCGTCCCAGCACCGGTGAACATACGCAATCCTGTGTTGAAAGACACGACTCCTGCATCCTTGTTTCTAGACGCCGCGGTCATACCCTCTCGGAACAAGAAAGATTTGCTTAATACGATGGATCACAAGCCCACCTCCTTCCTCCATTCTGGATTTAGCATATGCGCAAGGTGCGAGCGACGCCATTGCAGCAAATCTGCCAACTCATCAGAAACACACATCAGAGCTTTGCGCATGGAAGGCAGGGCAGATGATAACAGGAACAATGATGATGCCCTCACGACTTGCGACAGCGACAATATGTGAGACACCACCGGTTGTTGTCAATACAAATCACTCTTACCCAGCTTCTGCAAGGCGTCAGTCAATCATTGTCAACGAAGAATTGACGCATGTAGCTCCTCGAGCATTTGAAGTGATCAGCTGCATACCGAGCTCATAAAACTGACACATGCTGGAACGACAGCCCTGTTCGTCGTCAATGAGAAACCACCCGATCCGATCTTTGTGTCTCAATAATCAGTCGACCAGAGCAGGAAAACAACACTCGAGCACCAGAATCGATTAGTATGACTCAGTACCATCCGAGCTGATCGTCAAGGTAACTGCAGTTACGAAGGCACCTGCGCTGCACATGAAACGCAAGAGCAGCTACGCATGTCCAGAAATCGTGCAGTTTCCAGGTGCAGTTCCAGGACTTTCTCATGTGTCATGGTCGCGCCAGGTCCCCCCGCATCCGATCATGCGCTGCGGTTAACAGCAGCCGCCCAAAGAAGTGCGACAATGCTCTCAAATCTGCGCAACACTCGCCCATCGACGCCGGGCCATTTGTATGTCACTAGTCCTGTAGCGAAAGCAGCTAACCTCAAAGTATGACAGACACCTCAGCACGTGTCGCATGTGTGTGCGAGCGCTGAGTTCCCACGCAGAGAACTGCAGCATCAGGTAGTTCAACTGCCTGAGCCGACTTACTTCCCCCCCTCACTTTTCCTCGCACTGACTCGATCGGTGCAGCGCAAGTGTCGTCGACAGGACGTGACTCGACACGAAAGCGTTTCTCGAGTGCTGCAACGTGGAGCCAGTGTGTCGACGCAGTCCACCCCCCCCCCCTCGACCAGTGTCGATCGCTGGCTGCCGGTTGAAGAGTGGATCAAATCTGATCGACGACAGATGGCGAGGGACACGAACAACAGAGAGAGAGAGAGTGAGAGAGCGTGAGAGCGTGAGAGAGAGTGAGAGAGAGCGGCCCTTTTGCCCGCGGCCTTCATTACTAATACGTGTCCCACGAGTGATTCAAGAGCGCAAGGAACGAACGAACGGCTTCACGGACGACGAAGACAGTGACGATGGACGACTGACCGACCGCCCGGTAGTCCGGTTGACCAATTCGTCGACCGATCGAGCGGCCGACCGACCGCTCTGTCGCTCGGTAGCTCCTGACGTACTTCACTACTGCCACTTGCAGACAGTGAGAAGGGCGAGGGGGGAAGACGACTGTGTGTCTCTCTGCGTGTGTGTGTGTTCTCTCTCTCTCTCCGTCTCTGTCTCTCTCTCTCACATACTCACTCTGTCTCGGGCATTATAACGGCAGCGCTCTTGTTCGATCCAGTTGAGAGGTCAAACTGGACGGTGGACTTGGAGCTTCGTCCCTGCTGGGCAGTATCTGTCACGACACTCGCTGCTCTTTCTCCCGCTCACTTGTGAAACGACAATGCGGCAGCGCACGAGTCCCAAGACACTGCAGCAGCAGCAGCGGAAGGGAGAAACGGGAGCGCCAGTCGCTTTGCGCCCCGAACGCACTTGCGGGCGACGGGTCGGGTCAAGAGTCGACCATTTATATCGGTGGCTTCGTCACGACAAGTGGTGTGCTGCAGATCGTCGTGGGCTTTGCAGTGAGCAGCGTCTTGTTCAGCGGCGCGCTGCTCTTTTGTGGCGCGCTACTGGTCGTGGTGGGCATTGCGTTGCTGCACTGCAGCAATGGGAAGGCGAAGCAGCAGAGATTGAGCCTTGCGAGCGTCGTCCATCGCCTCTTGGCGCTACGTCGGAGTGCGTTGGACTACTCGCTGACGCTCTCGATCGCGCCCAGGGACGAGCGTTGCCAGACGCAGAGCAAAGTGCCGAGGATTGCGGCAGCAGCACCGCTGACTGTTGTGTCGCAGAAGGTGGAGACGGCAACGATGGCGTCAAAGCCGGAGAACTTGCAGCTGGGGCAGAAGAACGAGACGACTGCTCTTGCAAGCAGTGCCTCGATCGCGACGCGTGACGTCTTGCCACGGATCAGGTTGGATGGACTGGAAACGACCGAAGAGCTGTAACACTTGGGAGAAACCCAGGGCCAAGTCGGAGCCAAACGGGTACGACGCGGTCGACCGCTGCTGCCGCTCAAGGCCCAGTTGACGCAGTTGCAGCCAGTGCAGGAGACTGAAAGAGCAGCACCGGAAGCAAAAAGCAAAACAGGACAATGTAACGTCCAGCGCATTGACGACGTCCGTGAAGGCTGTGCACGTGCGGACCGGAAGCAAGAAGATGCAGCCTGTAAAAGCAAAAGGCTTCGCCATGTGAGGCGGCTCCCCGATCTGCCGCCGTCGAGTCCAAGATCGGTCCACTTTGGTGCCCCCTCGACGCGAAAGCTGCGGCTGTACTGCCGAAGTCGAAGCCGAAGAAGGCTGTATCTCCTGCAGTTCCTGTTCCTGTGAAGACTGCCACATGTGCTGTGGCTTCATTACCGGACTTGCCAAAGCGCAAGTTTTCGGCTGAACCTGCTCATAGCAAGCCAGCCGTCCAGCAAGTCGTCGTCACCCGCAAGGTGTTGCCGTATGTGGAAGCCACAAGCTGAACCAGTGCTGAAGAACAAGAAGCGAGCCGTGGAGCAGGGCACCAAAGGCGGTGCAAGAGATTGGGCCCGACCAAGAACTTGCAGAGACGGTTTTTTCGCCGGAGGAGGTCTCACCGTCGTCACAGCCAACGGTGCCGACACACGTCGGCGTTGCTGTCTACCACTGGTATGATGGAACCGAACTTTTTGCGGACATTGAGCTGGACCCGATATCAAAGCCAGCAAGGTTGGCCTCGTTGAGCTCTCAGCGTTTCAAGTCCGAGGGGAATGCTGAGTTGCGCTTGATGTTGGACGAGCTCGATGCGATCCGTTTGGAGCTCGACCCTGCAATGGCTCGTTGCACGTCGCTGCTCGATGGCGGAAAAGAAGCTAAGGAACTGCATTGACGCTGTACAAGCGGTTCCACCACCAACATCTGGTGCTAGCACACATGACGAGAGTGTGAGCATTTTACTTTGGTGGACCTTAATGGTCGTGCGAGAAGCGCGCCATTACAAGAGTGACGAAGCTGCGCAAAGAAAGCTGGAGCTAGCATCTTAACATCCCAATAAAAATCGCTGTCATGGTACGTTTTGACTCGAACAGCTCTGGCACAGAACTCGATGGAAAGCGTTCGGGTGTCTTGCCCATTCGTTTAAGAGAAGCCATGAACGACGAGTAGCCCCGCTCGAGGTCAAAGCTGAGCTGACGCGTTTGTTCTCAATGAGTTCGTCGGAAGCTCGCATTGCGTTCATCGCGCACAGCCAGCCTCGATCGGTCAGCAGCCGGGAAAAGTTAGGCGGCAAGCCGCTCACCATAGTCAGCGAGCTCATCATCTCGCTCAGCAGCGGCTGGATCTCGTCCACCGCTCGAATGTTGAGCTTGAGCACGTCCATGAGCGTGATGAAGTTTTGCACGGTCTGCGCTACATTGACCGAGTCTGTCTTGCGGTTGGTCGTATTGTGCACCACAGTGGCCGGCACGCCAATGC